GGCTGTGGGAAGAGGGCTGGGTTAATTGTTGCAGGGATGGGGCAGGAGATTTCACAGAGGAGGTGACATTTAAAGGAGCTGAGAGTGTTTATCTTTTAGAAGAGCAGAAAGGGGTGGCTTCTTGTCACTTTCTCCAAATTTTGGGAAGCCTGCCACAAGGATATGGGATTGTAGGTCTTCCACCCGGCCCCTGGGGGCAGTGGTGGAACCAACTAGGATATATAAATTTCAGGAAGCCAGATTTGGGCTGGACACAAGGAAAACTTTCTAGTTGACACAGCTCCCCATCCCTGGAAAGATTCATAAGATGTCCAGTCTGGAACCCAGACAGGACAGGGGTAGGGACAGGAAAAGATGGAGGCAGGGCCCAGAGGGGATAGGGCCTGGCCTAGCTGCCCAAGACTCAGGAAGGAACCCGCCCAAGGTGGCACACTGAGCCTGAAGCTGAGCTGAGACCCAAGTCTCTGAATCTCAGCCCAGTGCTCCATGGCTGTGACCCTGAGCAGTTCCAGCTCCCCTGGCTGAGTGACCACTGGCCAGTCATTTGACTGCCCTGAGCCCTGGGTGCCAAGGGAGATGACAGTGACGTTGACCTGTCCAGATCATCAGGGTATATGATATTGTGTTTGTAAAACATTAAGCAGAGTGCCTTGCACAGGACTATCTACAAGAAATGGCTATGATTGTGACTCTTCCACAACAAGGTTGTAAACTCAAATGCCTGCAGGGGCCCAGCAGGCAACGTAAGTGAGCAGAATGGGCTGGGAATGCAGGGAGCAGGAGGGCTAGGCCCCTCTGAAGAGGGCACTGCTGTTCCGCTGATGATCTACTGTGCATGACTGATATGCTCTGGTACAGTGGTCAAATATTGCAAATTTCACCCTAGGGTGGGGGCCTCGGTTGCCCCAGTCACTCTGTTTTCTGGAAGCCTGAAATATAAAATGCGTTGAATTTTAAGTTTTTCCAACTCTGCATTCTGAGGAAATAGTGGGAGGTGAGGGTTTGTTCAGAGGAACTAGCCCTAAGCTCCTGGGAGATCTTTTAAGGCCCTAGCTCCCCCTGACCTTGTCCTCCTGCCAACAGTCATGACTTGTGCAGACCCTGGTGAGATCACCAATGGGCACCGTACTGCCTCGGACGCTGGCTTTCCTGTTGGCTCCCATGTCCAGTACCGCTGTCTGCCAGGGTACAGCCTGGAAGGGGCAGCTGTACTCACCTGCTACAGCCGGGACACAGGCACACCCAAGTGGAGTGACCGGGTCCCCAAGTGTGCCTGTGAGTCTGGGGACACCCTGGGAAGGGTGGCTGGGTGGCTTGTTCAGCAGCGCAGCTGGCACGTCATGACTGACATGTTCCCTGCAGTGAAGTATGAGCCGTGCCTGAACCCAGGGGTGCCAGAGAATGGCTATCAGACGTTGTACAAGCATCACTACCAAGCGGGCGAGTCTCTGCGCTTCTTCTGCTACGAGGGCTTTGAGCTCATTGGCGAGGTCACCATCACCTGTGTGCCCGGCCACCCCTCACAGTGGACCAGCCAGCCCCCACTCTGCAAAGGTGCCTGGGCAGACAGGGCAGGAGGGGGCACAGCCGTGTCCGGGGAGTGACAGGGCTGGGAAAGTCAGGTAGCAAATTCGAGACCAATAGCAACCTTGCGGAGCCCACCTCCTGTGGGCTTTCATCCTCACAGGTACATCCAGAAGTCCTGGGGAAGTTCAAGGTCATGGAATTATCTTAAGGGATGTAGGAGAGGGGCTTTGGTGTAGAAGTGTCTTGCCCTCAGGATAGGTCTTAGTTTCCCTATTTTTGACAACTTCTACAGACATGGTTGGTTTAGACTGCCCAGAGCCCTGAACTTTTAGGGCACTGGAGAAGGAAGAAGAAGAAGGTCCTGCCCTGACTACTCCTCCCCCACCCACACCAAGAGAAGAATAAAGTTTAGGTTGAACAGAGGGCAGAGAGAACCAGGCTGTCCAGCCCAGCCCCACTTGGGCTCCCGGCCCTCTACCCAGCCTCCTTCCCTCCCTGGCTCAGACCCCGTCCCCTCCCCCTCCTCTCCCTGCAGTGGCCTATGAGGAGCTCCTGGACAACCGAAAACTGGAAGGTCAGTGAGGGCACAGGTGGAGACCCAGGCCTGGCTGAGTTGGGAGGGCAAGGCAGAGGCCGGGGGCAGGAGGCCAGGCCCCGGAGGGGTGAGACCCAGGGTTCAGGGCCCAGGGCAGGAGGCTGGGAGAGCCCAGGGCTGGGCCCAGCCCTAGCTTACTGGCCTCTCCTCCTCTCCCAGTGACCCAGACCACAGACCCATCACAGCAGCTGGAGGGTGGGAACCTCGCCTTGGCCATCCTGCTGCCCCTAGGCTTGGTCATTGTCCTCGGCAGTGGCATTTATGTATACTACACCAAGTAAGTATCTACTCAGGGAGCTGCTGGCCAGGGCAGATGTCCTGCCTGCCTGGCACAGAAGCCTGGGTGAGGGGGGGTTGGGGGCTCACCTCTCGATAAGCCCCTCTATCTTCTCCCTTTCCCAGGCTTCAGGGAAAGTCCCTCTTCGGCTTCTCGGGCTCCCATTCCTACAGCCCCATCACTGTGGAGTCAGACTTCAGCAATCCACTGTATGAAGCTGGGGTGAGCCCTTCCCTAGCCCCGGAGGGCCACATCTCTCACTCCCCTAGGGCTCCATACCTTCTCTCGAGGTCGCTGTAATATCTGTCTTGGGAATTTCAAATTCAGCTGCCTACAAAGGCCACGCAAATGAAGAAATCAAGTCAGGTGTGAACAATAAGGCTCACTGAGAACTGTGGCTAATTGGAGAACTTGTGCCTCATCTAGACCCTAGTGGAAACTCAGGCCCAATTGCCAGATCTTCCACCTGTTCAAGACAATCCAGAAATTTAGATATTTATGTGATTTTAAGATGCTGTAGGATGAACCAAACACATCCATTGGCCAGATTCAGCCCCATTCCCACCCTGTGGCCCCCACACCCCCAGCGATCAATGTTACTTTAAAAACCCAGGGTCTTTTCCCTTCTTTGTTGATACCTGCTCCACCCCCATCCCACTCCAGCAACTGATCCTGTCTCTCTTGTCTCCAGGATACACGGGAGTATGAAGTTTCCATCTGAACCCCAAAACTAAGGCTGCAGGACCGAGGACGCCCCTCCCCTCCTCATTCTGGGCAAGGAGGAGTACAGGACCTGGTCTCTGGCTCCTTTCCTCCCTGCTGTGTAAATAGTCTCCTGGTCCCACGAGAGGGCTTTGATGGCCCTGGGGACAGTAAATAAACCAGCATCCTGCCCCCAAAAGCCTCCTCTTCTCAGTTGCCAAACAAGGAGCTGCCCCCCTACCCTAGTGGCTTTTGGACCCTGGGAGGGGAACTCAGCTCCCTGCAACTCCTGGGGCCCCTCCAGCCCAGGGCACCCTACAAGGACTACCCAAGAGCTCTGGTGTTCCCTTGGCCATGAAGGCTCTGCCTTTCCCAGATGCTCTGGCCCCAGGCCTAACCCCTGGGCCTTGGAGGGTCAGAAGAAGAGGGATGAAGGAGAGAGCTGGGACAAGGCCCCTATCCCCTTCCTGCCATCTCCTCAACCCACAATCTCTTCATCTTTGCTTCTGGATTTTTGTTTTTGAGCAATAAACAGAAAAATCACCATTTGTAACTGGGCTGGTGGGGTGTGGGAAGGTGGGTCAAAGTGCTGGAGGTGGTGATGGTGGCCTCTCTGGAAAGAGGGCTGGCGAAAGGGGAACAAGTTGGAAAAAAGATGGAAATCCAAGACTGGGCACAGGGCAATGTCAAGGGGGCTGGCCTGGGGTCAAAAAGCCTGGCTTTAGGCTCAGCCTCTGTGGAGGACCGGCTGGGACAAGCCCCCTTCAGGCCTTAGCTCTCTCTGCCAGTGCCTGGCGTTTCTAAGCTCTTCTAGCCAGGAGAGAGCCCACAGTAGCCACCTCTGCTCCCTCCCTGTTTGGCAGGAGGTAAACAGCTCTCAATTTGTTTCATGACGAGTTTTTACCTAAAATTCAACCCCCTTTTGAGAATTTTTCTATCTATCCAAGTGTATCATTCTTTATTGTCCCCCATCTTTCTGGCATTTTAAGCATATCTACTGTTGCATGTCTACCAAGTATTGGTCAGATTTGTAGCATTTCATAAACAAGGAGCTTGTTTTGTATCCTGTGGGTGTCCTTTTCTACTTTATCTACTTTTGAACATTTTAAGGAATTTATAGTCTGTTCGTCTAAAGAGTCTCCAAATTAATTGAATTTTGCTTAATTAAAATTTTATATTTAAATATAATGAAACATTTTTAGGACACTCAAAGGGATACTGAAATACGCAAAAGGGGGTTGAATTTTAGGAGTACATGAGGCAAACTGATCTTGATACTAGCCTGAGTTTTGGACATTTATTCTGTGCCAGGCATTGTGCTAATTCCTTTGTATGCATTGTTTTCAACCCTCACAAAGGCCCTGTGAGACAGGGACAATTATTCCCTTTTTTTAGATAAGGAAACTGAGGCTCAGAGATGTGAAGTGACTTCCTCAGGAGGCTCCAGTAAGTGGCCAGACTGGGATTTAAACGCAAGCTCCACAAAGCCCACTGCACTGCCTCTGGCTAGTAATGGGTGTGATATGATATGTGATATGATAGTAATGGGTATGATATGTCCCCATAGGCATAAGGCCCCAAAGCTCGGAGGGGAGACCTCAGCAGTGACACTGGTGGCTCCTCAGAAGCAAAAGTAGACCCTCTCAGATGCCACAAACCTATACCTTAAGATGCTGGAGTTTGGCTAGGAGACGGTATGGATCCATGAGCTCATCTCTGCCAACAGGTTGACAGATAGCAGGTTGAAAACTGCCTGAATTAAAACCATTCCAATAATATACCATTCCAATAATATGGAATATGCCATTTGAATAATACGCCCACACATCTGACAAAAAAAGGTGGGGGCATTCCCCCCCCCACATCTGCACCCCAGAGAAGCCACACCAGAGCACTGCCTGGGTTGGGAGGAGGAAGGGATCTCTGCCTCTTTATTAAAGCCTTGGATTTCTGGTGGTGTCCTTGCCAGCTGAGAGCGGAGTGATGGTTCCAGAACACTTCGGAGGCTTCAGAGGTGATGGTGCTCATGACTAGGAGTCCCCGTCAAACCAAAGTGTTCAATGAGTTGTGAAAGAGGAGCTTTGAGGCATGTTCTAGAGAGACAGATGGAGGAAAGCATGAGAGGCCAAGAGAAGCACCAGACAGGGTTGAGATCATCTTCCAGATGTCAAGCTGCTAGGCAGAGTTCCCTAGAAAAGAATAAGAGCCTTTTGACTCTTTAGATCCAAGGCTCATGATTTTTTATCCTTATCCCCCACCCATCTATTTATCCATCCACCATTCCCCATCTATCCATCCACCCACCATTTTCCTTCTATCCTCCATCTATCCATTCATCTGTCTCTCCATCCACCCCCCATTCTCCTTCCATCCATGCATGCATTTATCTATTCACACATCTACCCATCATTCCCCATCCATCTTTCCACTCATCCATCTATCCCTCATTCATCCACCCACCCACTCAACTCTCTTCCATTTAATCACTCACCCACTATTTAAACTTCTTGAAAGCAGGGACTCTATTTTGCTCACTTCTAAATTCCAGCCCCTAGAGCAGGGCTGGCGCATAGTAAGTGCTTAATAAAGGTTTAGTGACTTTATCTATACACTTATCCATTCGCCCATTTACCCCCACCATCCATTCACACATTCCCCCATTCAACAATTCAAGAGACAATTCAAAGATCTGTAGGCTTCCATGTTCTTTCTTGAGGATGAGGATGGAAAAGTCTCTTGGGACCAGGGGGGCTGGCAGGTAGATGAGGGGAAGGTATTAGCTCAGGACGAAATTCTCAAACAAGTGCCATTTGGGAAGGAGAGGGAAACCACTATGGTTAGGTAGGGCCCTCACAGGGCATCTTGTCCAAGGCTCCCATTTGACATGGGAAGAAGGGAAGAAACTTGCATAGGGCTAACTATCAAGTTAATAGCAGATTAGCTATTAAGGCCCAGGGCTTTTCTGCTACTTCAAGCTGCTTCCAACACCAAAGCCCAACTGGAAGAAATCAAATGTCCAAAAGGCAATAGAAAGTCAGCTCCTTGATAAGAACAGTGGCTTCTTTTCAGCTGAATTTGCCTGGGGTCATGGTCATGACATTTGAAGTAGCAGCCCCAGTCAGAGAAATGACCATCCCCAAGGCCTGGTGGACCTGGCACATAATAGACACCCCCCCCCCCCAAAATTTGCTGTCAGTTCCTTCTCTGCCTCCCTCATGGACCCCTCTCACCTCCTCTGCCAACCCCTTATGTGGAGAGGTTCTCCATGGCTCCCTCCTCAGTGCCCTCTTTTTTTTCACTCTGCATAAACCCCCACAGGACAATCACACATCCTTCAAGTGCCCACTCCCTCCTAGATCAGATCTCTATTACCAGCCCAGACCGGGACAGTGAGTTTTCGAGCTGTATTTCTAACTGTCTACAGGCTATTTCCACCTGGAGTTCGCATGGGCACCTCAAACCCAATCTGTCCACAGGCGGGAGTGTGCTTGCCATGCTCCAGGAAGAATGAGAAGGCTGGCATGGCTGAGAGCGAGGGAAACAAGGGGAGCAGTTCTAGACAATGAGATCAGAGGGCCAATGGCGTCGGGGAGGAAAGTGATCATATCAGCCCTTGTAAGCCACTGAAAGACTTCAGCTTTTAATCAGAAATGGGGAACTATTGTAGAGCTCTGAACAGAAGCATGACATCATCAGACTAGGTGACCCAAGTCAGAAACCCAGGAGTCATCTGATTCCTTCTTTTATTCCTGTACCATTTTTGATCAATTGCCAAACTCAGTCTTCTTGGTCTCTATTTCTCATATCTGCCCCTCCTCTCATCTCTATTACTACTGCGACAATTCAAGACGTAATCATCTCCAGCTTAGTCTCTTGGAATAATTCCTAACTGGCCTCCCTGCCTCTAGTCTCTTCCCTTTCCCATTAACTCTCCCCTTTGATCACCAGAGTGACTGATCGAAAATTCCAAACTCCCTTGCTCAAAACTCTTCAATGACTGCTCACCTACAGGAAAGCGTCTATGAGGCACACATAAGTTCTCTTGGTTAATCCCTGGCTACCATGCCTGCATACTCCAGCAGTTAAACTGTTCCTGGTCCTACCCTCTCCCCTGCCCTGAGAACACACACACATACACACTCAGTCTATTGAAACTCACCTCTGTGCCTTTGGAATACCCCTACCAGTTTTTTCCTGGAAAATTCTTTCTTTAGGTGTCACCTCCTTCAGGAAGCTCCATGATTCCTTTCCTTCCTGTCTCAACTGAGGCTGGGATAAGTGGTCTTCTTGCTGTTTCCCATTTCTATTACAGGCACTCATTCATATTATATTGTAATTGGCCATTTACTTGACTGGCCCAACACTAAACTGCGAACTCTTCAAGGGCGGAGACTATATCATTCATTTCTGTGCCCCAAGCTCCTAAAACAGGGGCTGGCATTTCGTGTGAACTCTAAACATTTGCTTAATAATGAACGGCCTTGCCATCCATGGACCCAGTACATACCTTGTCACAAGGGGATGGCAGGAGGTGTGCCTTGGTACGGGTTCGGTTTCTGTCGGAGCTAGAGATGGTGAGAGAGAAAGGAGAGGGCTGAGAACTCTGAATTCGAGGGTCAGAGCAGAATAGAATAGGAAGACATGGTTTAAACCCCCCCCACCCCCACCCCACTGGGATATTGTCAAACCCTTGTTCCCTCCCCTACAGGCTCCTCATCTTTCTCCCAGGACAAAGGGCATCTCCCTTGAAGACTCACTCACTGGGTATCAGTGCCTCGGGTCTTGGTGAAGAACACTGGAAATAGAGGCCCCAGGTAGAGAAATTACTATCTCCACAGCTAGAAAGAGATGTGGCTAACGAGGAAGGGGGCTGAGGCGATTCCTGGCCAGCAGGGAGTGGGTACTGGGTGGGGGTTGTGGGGGCACACTGCACAGTCCTGGGGCTGGCTGTGAGATGGGGGAGATGGGCGCAAATTCCTGGAGAGGTCAGCTGTGGTTGGGAGGGGGTGAGGGGCTGGAAGTGGGGCTAACGGAGGGTCTCCGGACACAGTGGTCCTGGCGTGGGGGGTCACCGTGGTTGGATATCTGAGTCCCCCGGTCTTGTGTCTGTTTTCCTTTGGTGGGTACAGGGTTCATGTGGTAGCCAGCGATAAACAAGGCCTCATTAGTGAGTTCTGTGCTGATCCGGGTCAGGAGTTCCTCAGAGCGGGATAATGAAACCTTTTAGGAAAGGGAAAGTCAGAGGGGCTCAGCCTGGGAGTTCCTACATGGGAGTCCTGGGTTTAGGGGCTCCCAGGCTGGGGGCTCTGGGTCTAAGGAGTCTACCGGTGGAGGGCTGTGCCTTGAGGTTTGGCCTAGAAGGCCCTGGAAGTCGGGTGCAGACTTTGGGGGCCTCCGGGCCTCGAGCTGGGGGCTATGGGCTCAGAGTTGAGGCTAGGTCTCAGTGCCCTCAGCCTAGGAGCTCTCTACTTTATTTCACCACCACCTCTAGAATTCCCCTCCAATGCTCACCGGACCTCCACCCAAGGAGGTTGCAGCTTGGGACAGCCCGCTGCCTTTGTTCTCCTCATTCCTGGTAGGAGTGCATGCCATTCCCCTGGGAACAGTTGGAGCCTATGTTAGGTGGAGAAACCAGCTCACTTCCCCCAAACCCGTCCCACCACCATTCCCCAGGCCCAGATTTAAACGAGGCCTTTGGATGAACCATCCTGCTGTCTCAGTTTTCTCTCTGAAAAAAAAAAAAAATCATTGCCCTGTGTATTCCTAGAGGAGGGAGTGGGCGGAACTCCCACAATCCCCGCCCCGATTTCGCCCCTTTGCCCTGGGGATGACTCTTTGCTGCTTCCCACCCAAGGCCCTTCCCAAGACAAGGCAGCCAACTTGCCGCCCCCGACCTGGTAAACGGGTTGAAATCTTGGGCTACTCGGCAGGAGGGAAGACGAGGAGGTCCAAGGAACCTCAGTTGGTCGCGGGGGACGGGGAGCTGGAGTTGGGGAGGAAGGGTGGAAAGACGGGGACCCGGGGCGGCAGAGCTACCCTTTGCTATAAAGACTTTGGTGTCTGCGGAGGTTCCGAAGCCCGGTTGCCAGGATATTAGGGATTCCAGAACCGGGGGCGGGGGCGGGGGAGGGGCATTTTCCCAGCACGTCGCGTTCGCTCCTCCTGCCTCTCCTCCACCGCCCTCAGGTCCCTCCTTGGGGGCGGTGACCCCAGCGCCAGAAGCTTGAGAAACTTGGGAGGAGCAGGTAGGGTGGAGTCTGGGACCTAATCCTCCTACCACTAGGGGCACGCGTCAAGCAACTTCACCCTAGGCCATCCTCCAGCCTCTCTAGCCGGCACCTCGTAGCCTGGAGCCTGCGAGAGCACATGAGGCCGAAGAGGGGGGGGGGGGGGGGGATGTGGACTGTACTAAATAACCCTGCCTCTTGGGGCTGCAAAGACTTGGGAGGGCGGAATCTTTTCCTCTTCCCTTTGTCTCCAGGAAGTCATTTCCTCCGCAGAAAGGAAAGTAGAGCTATGCATCTAGCCTCCTTCTGTTTTGACCTCTCCTTTTCAGTCCCTCCTTTGCTCGGCGTCGACGGTTCTTTGCCCCCTCTCCTCCGTCTGTGCTTTGGTACGAGCCGATGGAAAGGGGCGGAGGGAGGAAAAGGAAAAGGAAGCTCGCAGGTCTTAAAGGGGCCGCAGCCATTTTTTTAAGCCTTTTTTCCCTTTCTCTGACTTTGCAAGTATGAACGCGGAAGAGTAGGTTTCCGGAAGCCGAGCACAGCTGGAACAGCAGGGGCCGCAGCTGGAGGCGGGAGCGCCTGCGGGGCGAGCAGAGGCGAGGGTCTGCCCATAAGAAGGGCGAGTGTGCGCGCCCCCTGCGCCCCGCGCACATCTGGGTCGGCCCATGCTCCGGCGGGCAGCGAGCTTTAACATCTGGGGCCGGGCGGGGGCAGCGGGGGCTTGCGCGCAGTCGGCGCGGCGGATGCGCCGGGCCGGAGGGTGAGGCCGCACATTGGGGCAGGGACGGAGCTGGCGCTTCCAGATTCTGCCAGGGGCGGCAAGGGGGCCGCCGCGATGCCGGGCGAAAATATCTTCCTGTTTGTGCCTAACCTCATTGGTGAGTGCTGCCCGCGGCTCCAGGCCGAACGGGAGGGCGAGGGGCGGTGGGCAGGCTCCCTGATCTCGCCCTGTCTGTCTCCTCCCCGTCCCATCCCAAGGTTATGCCCGGATTGTCTTCGCCATCATTTCTTTCTACTTCATGCCCTGCTGCCCCCTAACGGCCTCCTCCTTCTACCTGCTCAGCGGACTTTTGGACGCTTTCGATGGACACGCTGCTCGAGCCCTTAATCAAGGTGACAGATACCTCCTCCCAGCCAGCCTTTGGGCCCAGCAGCCCTCTGCCCGTTTTCCTGCCTACTCAGGACCTCAGGGTGGGCGGGTACTCGGGAATCGGAGGCCTCCGTTATTCCCTTCTCTGTAGAAAGCAGAAGAGAATGGCTTGGTTTTGTAGCAGAAGGGATTTAAGCTAGCTGTTGAGAAGAACTCACTGATACTGAGGAGTGTGGGCTAGCAAGACTGGACATGGCAGTGGCAGTGCTGTAGGCTTCTCTGAATAAAAACCAGCAGGTGTACGGGGCGTCTACTGAATGCCAGGTACAAGCAATAGGGATTACAGAAGGCGTGTTTGGAGGGAGGATAGAGAAGGCATTCGGACGGCTTCTGGAGGGTTGACTAGCTTTTTAATCTGTTCTCCAGACCCACCTCCAGGACTTCCCCTAAGACTTCAAGTCTCCCTGTCTTGAGACCTGGACCTTTGGTTCTAGGATTGATGAGTTTTGCTCTCTCCACACTCACATTTATCCCCATTTCATGTCATGGTGACCCTTGCCCACTGACCTCACACCCTACAGCTAGCAGCCTGCTTTCCTCCCCAGGCATGGATGGTGGACATTTTCAGTTCTTTTAGGCTCTGCATTAGAGTGAACTACCAAATAAGGCCCCTGGCGTAGATCTGCTGGCTCCTAATAGCCTCTTCCCACCTAATAGTCCTCATTTTTCAGGGACCCGGTTTGGGGCCATGCTGGACATGCTGACAGACCGCTGCTCCACCATGTGTCTGCTGGTCAACCTGGCCTTGCTGTACCCTCGGGCCACCCTTCTCTTCCAGCTCAGCATGAGCTTGGATGTGGCCAGCCACTGGCTGCACCTCCACAGGTCTGCGATTGTGTCTGCGATGACACAACAGTGGGGAGGGGTGAGACTGTATGGGAGGGTGTCTGGAATGGCTTCAGGCTTCTTGGGATGTCTCCTTTTTAGCTCTGCTTTGTTGAAGGATGCTGGGCAAATCCTCTCTGAATCAGTTTTAGTCCTGTTTACAGTGGAATTAAGCAATCTCTAAATTCTTCTGACTGGGTATTTGAGGATTCCAGATAGATAACAGCTCTTGGAAAGGGGCGTGGGGGCGTTTGAATGTTGGCATTTGAATCCTGACTCTGTTCCCAGCTAGGTAATTGAGTGGCTTTGGGCAAGACAGTGGTCCTCAGCTGTGCCCTGGTGCCTCTGTACAGTAGATAGCTGGTGGGGGTTGATATGAGGATTAGATGGGCATTAGTGGTAATGAACACTCATGGATTCCTCCTGTTTTCTCCCCAAGTTCTGTGGCCCGAGGCAGTGAAAGTCACAAGATGATCGACCTGTCTGGAAATCCAGTGCTCCGCATCTACTACACCTCCAGAGTGAGCATTTCCTGCCCCTCCCTTATTTACTCAGCTTAGGCCAAGTCCTAGGCTGAACCTTGGTCCCAAACACCAAGGGCATCCTTGGGCACAAACACCAAGGCAGGACAGCCAACCCAGGGAAAGAGGCCTGTAAGCTGAGGCATGGAGGGTAGAATTGGTGGGGAGGGCCTGTGTAAATTGCTCCAGGCAGCCAGTGGGCATGGGGCCCAGGTGCACCCAGGGAGGAGGAACAGTAGCTGGAGCAGGGAAGGGAGGACGGAGAGAGAATCCAGAGAGGTCTTAGAGCCGGCTCTCAAAAGGCCTTAGGCCCTGACTAGGAGCGTGGACTTCATTCTGGGAGCAGTGGCAGCCTCAGAAAGGATTTTTAAAGAGAGAAGTAATCTGCTGAAATTGTTCTTTCCTTCCACCCTCACCCTACTCCCCTACCCCCTGCATCCCTATTTCCCCAGTATAGTTCCTCCCTGCTGCCCACTGTCAGAGGGTGCCAGCCCCTGTCCCTTACTTGGGCGGGGCGGTGGGGGGCTGCCCCACCCTTTTGCTGAAGCAGCCTCTTTGCGGTTTGTGCAGCCTGCCCTGTTTATCCTGTGTGCTGGAAATGAGCTCTTCTACTGCCTCCTCTACCTGTTCAATTTCTCTGAGGGACCTTTAGGTAGGAGATGAGGGCCTACGTGGGAGGATGGGAGGGGGTTCTGGTCTGCCCAGGGAGGGAAGGCCACCAATTCCTGGGCCCCTCCCTCGCTTGTATCCCATTTTGTCTGTATCGCCTTTGTTCCCTTCCCACAGTTGGCTCCGTGGGTCTTTTCCGAATGGGCCTCTGGATCACTGCCCCCATCGCCTTGCTCAAGTCCGTCATCAGTGTCATCCACCTGATCACAGCCGCCCGCAACATGGCTGCCTTGGATGCAGCAGACCGTGCCAAGAAGAAGTGACCCTGGAACCCCCTAGCCCCTGGCTGCCTACCTGCCATGGGAGTCTCACTGTGCCACGTGGCTCCCCTCTCTCCTAGGAGCTCCCAGGCTCATGTATTCCTAATGTGTTGTCCAACCTGCTGGGAAGGGGGTCAGCCTCTTTGGAGATGTTATCCTCTCCATAATCCTGAGGACCAGTCCCTGCTCCTGTGATCCCTAAGCATCTGGACGTCAAATCAGGAAGGATGCTCACAGGGCCCCGCCCATAGGGACAGTGCTCCTGGAGCGTGAAGAGGCCTGTCTGCGGACTGGGCATTGTCACACCCGCTGGCTCAGCCCTGGGGTCTGGCTTGGCCTGAGACTTTAGGGACATTTGAGTGAATGAGATGGAGTAGGGGCCAGGTTTCCCAAAAGGCAGGGAGTCAGGCCTCTGCCCCTGGCCAGAGAAAGCCTGCAGGTACCATGGCCTGGAGAGAAGGGACCTTCTAGATCCTTCCCCATTGCAGTCTCCTCTGTCTGGTCTATCCTGGGTCTGAAAACCTCAATAATAAAGGCCTGAGACGGAGGGAGGGCTCTTCACTATCCTTCACCGTCCTTTGAGATACTCTTGGATCAGGGCCTGGGTTGAGGGGAGCTTGGGGAAAAAGGAAGATCCATCTGGATGCTTTTCCCCCAGTTGTTTACTGGCTGGCTCCTTCCTGTTGTTCCACACTGACCTCAGAGAGGCCCTCCCTGCCACCCAAGCTCATGCTATGTCCTCTGCCCACCTGCTTTATTTTCTTTACAACTCTCACTGGCCACATTTATTTGTATGCCTGATATTTTCTACCCCCACTAAAATGTAAACTCCACAGCTATAGACTTTTCTTGTTCCTTCTCTATGCCTACAATGAAGATTAACCTTAACCTGGCATATCGTACCTGCTTAATAAATATTCACGAATAGATGAGCTGGTTTCTCCGAGTGAGGTCCTTAGACCACTGGTGGGATAGTTCTTAAAAATTCAGCTTCTTGGACCCAGTACCAAACCTTCAGAGTCAGAATCTCTAGGGATAGGCCCACAAGTCTGCAATTTTCATAAACTCCAGGTGACTGATTCTTCTCCCTGATAATGCTGAGGATCGCTGTTCCTTATTGAATGTCTTTTGGGCACCTACCACATAGTAGACATTGTGGGCATCTGTTCCTAGCAGCTACCCCTACTGTCTAAGCTTTCTCTGGTGTGTGGCACCAGCTTTCTTTTTAAAACTATTGAGCCTACCATATGCCAGATCCTGTGCTGGGCCTTCTTTGCAGATGTTGCTCATTTTACTCACATAATAGCTTAGTCAAGAGGTCCACTCCACGTCTGGGGGAGCTGAAAACTATCGCATGTGTGTTGAGCCTCAACTCCTGTCCTAGGCCCAGGGGATTTGGTGGGAACTAGGCAACCAGCTTTCCAGCCCTCTTGAAGGTCAGACCAGTGAAGGGGGAGCCGATCATGCAGTTAGGGAGGGGCTTGGTGGAGGATGGGAGGAGAAAGCACTGAAACACTCTACTTAAGCGCTGGTGAGGGGGTG